GTGCTGTGGCGCTGCAATCTTTGGCTATGTCTTGGGCTACTCAAATATTTTACGTTTTTGATACTAAATTAACATCTGAAGTATAATTTTTTATTGTTTTTATATTTTTCAATATATTTATTTTGTTTGTACAAAATAAAAAAATAATTTTTAACGATACAATAGTCTTCGTTAGGCTTAACATCGACGAAAATTCAACGCGAAGCGACACGCAACGGAGAAAAATTTCAACATGGGATAAATTAATATATTTTTTCGTATGTAATCGGTTATCCGAAACATGGAGCTTCAGAATAACTCCAGTCCCCAATTGATTCGGATAATCGACGCTCTACTGTATTCAATAGTAGCTTAGCGTGGGATTTATTTAGCTTAATTTATTAAAGTAAAATATTATTAAAATTTACAAAATAATAAATAAGTAATCTAGAATTAATTAGAATGAATAATTTTTAAGATGAATTTTAGACAATTTTTATATATCAAAATATTTAATTAAATAGCTTCAAATTAAATTGCCTTAAAGTTAATTAAAATTGTTTATAACATAATATTTTAATCGCTCGTTTTAAGTAACATTAACCGTCGTTAAATTACGTAACAACTGTACAGGGTATACTTATTTTCGCTTCATTAGTATTGTCTGAATTGTCTTTAACAAGATTTAATTATCCTCAGGTAGAATTTACACATAAGCTAAACAGGCTATACTTTAGGGTCTCACGTAGCTTTGAATTTCATGCGTTTTAAATCTACAGTATTCTTATTTAGTGAAGTGGAATAATAATTAACAAATGATATTCATTTGAAGATTATTTATTTTCATAATTTCTAATATTTAGTGAAATTATTTCATGCAATCGATGGACAACAGAAAAAGTAAATATTAAAATTCTTAAGGAACTGATTATATCTACGTTTGTATTAAAATCTTAATCCCTTTCCCTTCATCCGATTTCTCGGATGCTGATCAAACTTTGGATTCGATTGTGGAATAGATTGACTTGTGAGCTTAATAAACAATGAATACAAGATTTAATCCACAATAGCAAATTAATAGCACTTATGTTCAAATTGAATCGTAAAATAAATATATTTGAAACCTGAGAACGTTTAATTAAGTTAAAAGGACATCATAATTGGATGAAACTCTAAATTTCAAAATGAAAAAAAAATTGTATGCAATTCAAATTGTATTCTAGTAAAACAATACAGTAGAGCGTCGATTATCCGAATCAATTGGGGACTGGGGTTGTTCGGAAGATCGGTGTTTCGGATAACCGAGTATGTACGAAAAAATATATTAATTTATCCCATCTTGCCATTTTTCTCCGTTGCGTGTCGCTTCGCGTTGAATTTTCGTCGATGTTAAGCCTAACGANAGCTTTAGTCGTCTGGTTAGGTTCGTCCTAGGTTATGGTGGGTTATTTTAATTAGTAAGTTAACGTTTTTTAGAAAAAATACATAAAAAAATATTTTGGGGTCTTGCTCGTTTGTCTCTGTCGGTCCGTTTGTCTTGTCTAGTTTGTTGTTGTCTTCGTTTGTTTTCACACTGTCTAGCTGTTCATAGTATTGAGATTCGCGCTCGCGTACAGTTTTATTAGTATTAAGTAGATATAAGTCTTCCTACGAACAGCCACTTGGCACTAACTCCTACACTTAGCTATTCGTGACTCTACTGTATATCTATTAAACCGAAGACTGTTTTCTCGTTAATAATGCATCTTATCTTGCTGACAGTAAAATATATATACACGTAAATGTTACTTTATTATTATTACACACTTATACAAGGTGATGACAGAATTCTCTTTCCAGTCTATTATTGAGGACATGAATAGTGCCATCATTCTGGAAAATATTCATTTTGAATTTTCAGCCATACTGATTAGCTTGAAGTTATTTGAGAAGGTAAAATAAATGTATAAGCTGCAGTTGGTTTTATTGCTTTCCATTTATTTCTAATGTTATTTCTAGTCATACACGTTATGTTTTCAGAGCTTATTCTAGAGTTCCGTTTGATATTTTGGAATGCAATTAATTAAAGAATGACAGAACGAGTAATTTTAGGAACTTTCTAATTGACATCATTGCCCATTTTCGTTAGGAGCTGGTCAGCTCGTTGAAGCAGAGGAAAGAAAACAGGATAGATTCAGTTATCGTTTAGCTTAGTTCTAACAACTGTAGTCCTGTATTGTGACCAACGCTAATATTTTACCAATAATATATGAATAAATTAACAGTTATATGTATTCTGTTTTTTGAAATTTTAAATATATTTTATGTATAATGGCAATATTTTAATGTTCTAACTAAAAATTACTATTTTTTTTTTAATAGGATGGATTGAAATACAGTGTCTGCAGTGATTTACGAAGTCTTATTATGTACAAAATATGCAAATTTGGGTAATGAAGACGAAACATGAGTGATTCTTTAGAGCCTGACTACTTAAATCAAGTCAATATGACAGCCTGGTTGTTGGCAACGATGAGATCTCAGGGCGTGTCATTAAACAATAGTAGCTGGTCAGCAGAGAATATTGACGATTCAAGTTCAATATTGATGGCTTCTAACGTCACTACTAAACCAGAATTACACATACATCGTCCTCTTCTAGCTGTATTATTAGCATTCTTCTGTGTTGTTACAGTTTTCGGTAATGTTTTAGTAATGGTTGCAGTAGCCAGAGAACAATATCTCCATACTGTTACTAACTATTTCATCGCTTCTTTGGCAACTGCCGATTGTCTAGTTGGTGCATTAGTAATGCCATTTAGCGCAGTTCACGAAGTTATGGAAAAGGTATGGATATTCGGACAGGACTGGTGTGATACATGGCATTCTTTGGATGTCTTGGCCAGCACAGCATCTATACTTAATTTATGCGTTATATCTTTAGATAGATATTGGGCCATAACAGATCCAATCACGTATCCGAGTAGAATGACGCCGATGAAAGCTGGCATTTTAATAGCCTTAGTATGGATGTGTTCCGCTTTAATTTCATTTCCAGCAATAGCTTGGTGGAGAGCAATGTCTAAAGAGGATCCACCACCTTATGAATGTCTCTTTACCGACGATGTCGGATATCTAGTCTTCTCGTCTACGATTTCTTTTTACGGACCACTTACTGTGATGGTATTTACTTATTTTAAGATCTATAGAGCAGCTGTTGAGCAAACTCGAAGTCTTAAAGTTGGCTGCAAGCAAGTACAAGCAATGAATGGTAATCACAAAACACCTCTAACATTGCGAATGCACAGAGGAGGTATGTTTCAAAGTGGATCATATCGTTCGATTTACTCTACTGTTAGTAATGGTCACGATAATGGATACGAAAGAGGAACTTCTTTTAAATTTACAAATAAAAACCTCAAAAGTTTTTCTCTTAGTAGGAAACTTTCCAAACTTGCCAAAGAACGAAAAGCAGCAAAGACTTTAGGTATTGTTATGGGTGTTTTTATATTATGCTGGTTACCTTTCTTCGTTACAAATGTACTCATCGGAATATGTGGCGAGAAATGCATAGTAAAACCAGACCTAGTGTTATCAATAGTGACGTGGCTAGGATGGTTAAATTCCGGTATGAATCCAGTCATTTATGCCTGTTGGAGTAGAGATTTTAGAAGAGCATTTACGAAATTTCTTTGTTTTTGTTTTCCTCGTTATATCAGAAAGAAACGTTCTTATAGGACTAGATTGAGAAGAACATTAAAAGAAGACATAGGAATGGCGAGTATGAAGTCTTCCGCTACTGAAGAAGTGCATTTATAATTTATCATTATGTTACTAAATATTTATAAAATTTGTACAGTTAATGCTCATAATAAATATTTTTTAACAGCAGTAGATNCTTCCACTTCATGAACTTTTAACTGTATACAGTGGATCGAACACCGGGAAAATCTGGGTATATCAGTGAAATTTCGTGGAATTATGAGGAAAATTTTTTTTAAAAAAATGCATAAATTAGTGGAAAATTATATATTATAATTGACGAAATTATAAAACATCTTATTACAATTTTTTAAGTAAAATGATGATGAATTTTCCATTTATTTTGCATGCATATATATATTAATATATATATATATTAATATATATACATATACACATATATATGTATATATATTAATATATATACATATACACATATATATGTATATATATTAATATATATATATATTAATATATATAAGCATTTGGATAAATGCTTATTATATCTATCTTGAACAACTACTTGAACATCTATCCCAATCTTGAACAACTACTAGTAACGTAATAACTTGTAGAAACTACGTTAAATACGAAAGCTACAGTTTGCATAGTATTACATGCAAAGGCAATCTTCATTGGCTTTGGAAATAATGAACCGGTGAAGAGACAATGTCAAAGTATAATAAATAAATAAATAAATTTCATCGCAGTTTTAAAAAAATTTACTTTGCTAAAATGCATTTCGATTGAGTATTGATTTTATAATAGAGAATGAAATATAAAAAGTTGTAAAATAGCATAAGTGTGGTTATAAATTCGTATGATAAACCTTTAATTAATAAACTATTGATTAATATTTTTTTATTATTTACAAAATTATAACAATAATAGGGTAAAAGGTTTAAAATTAAATAAACTTTTACTTAGATGTTACATTTATATTTTATACTGCATAATTAAATGCATGTGTACAAGGTCTGTTCAAAAAGTATCGGACCTTATTTTTTTCCGCGTAAACCAATGATGCGAGAGAGGCCTCCTTCGGTGGAGTTATGGAGGGGACAGTCATGCACAGCCCTGAATTTTTTCCCGCCTGCAGAAAGCGTCAGTCGTTGGCAATCGGCGTATGAGTGAGGTCATGTAGTGCGCTCTCGTCGGATTTCACTAAGCTGGAAAATGACTGAACAACGTGAGCAGCGATATTACATCAAATTTTGCCAAAAACCTTGGCGATACCCGAGTGTAAACCATTCGCAAGATTCAGCAGGCTTTCGGGGACGATCCTCGAGGCCAAAAAAAGCGCGGCAGGTCCGCAGCAATATCAAAGGTCATGTTGACATTTTTTTCGACTCTCGTGGGGTGGTGTGTCGTGAGTACGCACCACAAGGCCAAACCATCGCAAAGGAGTACTACCAGGAGGTCCTTCGTCGTCTTTCCGATACAGTGCGATGCAAACGATGGGATCTGTGGTCGATCAAAACTTGGCAGCTCCATCGTGATAACGCATCCGCCCATTCTGCGCATCTGATTCGGGCTTTCGTCGCCAAACACAATACTCCTGTGGTTCGTCACGCTCCGTATTCTCTCCACATGGCTCCGTGTGACCTTTGGCTATTTCTCAAGCTGAAAATGCCGCTAAAAGGAACCCAAATTTAGTCGAGAGAAGACATCGTGCGAAATGCGACGGACCGGCTGATTACCATTCCAAAAGATGCGTTCCAGCAGTGTTTCCAGCAATGGCAGAAACGCTGGGAGAAGTGTATACATTACCAAGGAGACTACTTTGAAGGGGATTAGGGTTTTGTTCCTCAAAGTCAATAAATTTATTTTTGCCGACCAAAGGTCCGATACTTTTTGAACAGACCTTGTATGTAAGATGCACCACTAACCCGAAGTCTAGTCTGAAATTTCTGTTAATGCAAACGGCCAAAATAATCTGGATCTCCCTCTCCCTTGGAACAAAATACGTGGCTGTTACACTTACTTTCGCCCAGAATACGAAATGTGCATACAAGAAACAAGTCTTTCATTCCTATCTAAATTGGAACAGGAGAAAGGGAAGGAGAAGACTGTTCAGGTATGTGGTGGTTTTCAACTCGCGAAAAGCGGTTGAAAACCACCACATAAGTTACCTGAACCGAGTTCGTGAGTTCTCAAAAACTGACGGTCTAAGTCATCTTAACGTAATACTCACACACAGAGTGATTATTCAATACAGAGAAACATCAATGCATACGAAAAAAGCATTTAGGATAATCCGAATACTAGCCAATTCGAACAGGTTTGATCTCTAATTAGTTCGGATTAGCGAGGTTATACTTTACTCATATTTATTTTCTTTTTTTTCAGTTTTATCAATGCTAATTATCATTTCATTTAGAAAATTAATTAACTATAACACTTTCAAAGTCATCACATAAGAAAGGAATCTATAAATTTTACACGACATTTATTCAAATTAAAACATTTAAACATTATCCATTTTCCTTTTAAATGTTATTCAAATAGCTATAGTACTGTATTTACAAAGCTTAAGTATGTTTACAATGTGGCACGCGGGCGCAAAAAAGGTTCTGTAGACCTTTCGCAGATGTATACTAAGTAGTGCATGTGTTAAACCAGTGTTTCTCAACCAGGAACCATTGGGTCCACAGAACATTTCAAGGGAATTACAGGCCAAAAATCAATTTTACACATCAATCTTGCACGTGTACGCAATGCACGTCAATTTAATTTTTTTTTTTTTTTTGAAGGATGTTTACTATTAAAATATAAGTTTATTGCATGTGGAGATAGTGTATGCAATCTATAGAATGAAAGTTCAACTTATTGCTACCATTTGTTTCGCTCTAATATTGGCGTAAAATCAAACTAAATTTTAATAACAGATAACACATATTATACCGTATGTAAGGCGCATCCCATAAAATTAAATCCACTTTGAAAATTCCAATTTAAAAAAATACATAAAACTTTTACGCAAATTCTTTCAGTTAAATATAAAGCAAATATAATCTATTGAATATTTGCTATTATTTTTGTTAATGTAGGAAAAATTAAATTTAAAAACATCTGGCGAAAAAAAATTAATTTAGACGATCTTAATGGCTTACTATCAGCACGAACTTTTTCCAAAAAGCAGAAAGATGGTGAATCATTGATTGTTTGGGCAAGATCCTCAGGAGAAGGAAAAACAGCAGTCACCTTCGTTAACGACCATACGAAAGCAACAGATTATTATAACAACATTTATTTTCTTTTTATTTAAAATCTAAAGGACTCTCTCACTTTTACTTTCAACAAGATAATGCACTCGTACACATACAAAAACATCTTTCGAGTGGTTTTCAAGTAACGGAATGCGAGTTTTAGATTAGCTTGCTTGTTCTCCTGATTTGAATCATATGGAAAATATGTAGGCTATCTTGGCAAGATCAGTTTATTCTCATGGAAAACAATATTTATCTGTGGAGGACATGAAAGAATATACAGTATACTGCTAAAATAGAATGGAATTTCAATGGAATTCTGTACACAGTCGATCAAATCAATGACAAACTGTATTTTTAAAGTGATTAAATGGCAAGCAAATTGGTTATAAAGTTGAGACTTTTTTTTTTAACTTTAAGTGCCTGGAATTATATTTTTAAGTCTGAGCCTACTCGAGATATGACACGATCACCCTTTGTCTCCCCACCCCTCGACCTTTATCCATCAAAATTTAATAGCCTCAATTCTCCAATACACAAATCTCCCTGCAAAATTTCAGACATTTTCGACACAGGAACAGAAGTTATTAAGCTTGAAATTGGGTAAACAAAATCGTGACCACACATTCAAACAAGCACATACATACAGAAAAACTCCCGAATTTTTTGCACTTCTCGACGTTTCAAAGTCCCCTGAGTCCAAAAATGAAAATATTTTAGAGGGCATTTCATGACCTTTTGTTATATATGACAGAGCTAGGAACGAAAAATCTGAATGAGTTTTTATATAATTAATGATAATTTTAATTTATAACGATTCAGATGTAAAGATGTTTTTTTTAAATAACATTAAATCCTTCAACTACGTAATAAATATAAAACTGAACAAAAGGTATTCTGTTTAGTAAGTAGCAAAATTTGATAAAAATTCCGAAAACATTAATTATATCTTCAAATTTTGAAGGCTTAATATATTAATAGAATATAAAATTGCACACTAACTATTATTGCACTAACTAAATTGCACAACTAACTATTATTAACGATTCCAAATATCATTTCACAAAAATTTCGACAGAAAAATTACATTTATATAGGAAAAAAAAATCAAAAGCAATATGCAATATCATGGTGATTCATTTAGTTTTAATTGAGAATATATGTGTAGAGACATTTTAATAAACAAATTTATTTTCCTATATATATATACCTATATATATATTGAAGAAATACTAATCAATAATGTGGTTTTTTTTACTGTCAAAATTGTCCTTTGTTTCATAATAAACGTGACAGAATATAATATATTACAGTTCGAAAATACTTAATTTAAAAAAAAAATATGGGAAAAACTATATTATGTAACCAAGATTGCTTGCTTCTAACCGATTTATAAAAGATTCTATCGTTTTAATTTTGTTTTTTTTTTCAAATATAACACCACGCTGTAGCAAATATTTTGGCATAGCACCAGCGAATATAGCACCAAACGGTGACCATAAAAAGGAAATTTAAGTCGAGGAAACAAGAAAGATTCACATAGTGTCATATCAGAACCGTATTCGTTAAATAACAACATAAATTGAATGAATGATAAATTCACTAAAAGATTCAAATTGACGGTCTTCATGATAATTTCCTTAAAATATGTAAAACACACACACACACAATTGATTTTAAAAAACAATTACTTTTCTGGTGTTTTAAAAATAGTGACAGGAAACAGAAAATTGAACTGAGTTTTTTTTTTGTATATATTTGTAACTGTCAACGTGTTTTTATGCTTTGAATTTGGCATTAATAAAATAAATAAACAAACACGTATAAGTGAAAAGATTATTTATTTAAACAAAACACAATAAAAAAGAAAACAATAAAGTATCCTCGGGCAAA